TTCTGGCTGTGGGCAGGGTTTTTTGTGAGGTGGTTTTTCATTTGTGTTCATATCACCAGCAGTTAGGTCAGATTTTGATGAGCTGGTGCTTGATGACAAAACTCCTTCAGGATTTGAGTCTATAGATGTGAGACTTTCAATGCTGAAGGCTATTTGATCATATTTTGTCTGGCTTTTCAGTTGGCAGATTTTGTCCAGAGTTGTTTTACTGTTATTTTCAGTGCATTCAGATTTCTTTGCTTGGTGGTGGCGTTTTCGCTTTGGTACTTGCTTTTCTTCCTGGTCTTTTGGAAGATTTGAGGCTGTTTTTACTGGGGCTGATGAAGAGTGAGCATTTAGGTTGTCAACTTTTCCCTTGGGCATCCTCGAAGTTGAAGTAGTCAGTTGGCTGTCTGGAGGTTTTGATCCCAGACTTGGATGTTTCTTAGTTTTCATCATGATCAATTTTCTGCTTTAGGATTTTTTATTATTTTTCAAAGAGATTTGACTTTGAGAAGACTAGATTATCTAGAATGATCTGCAGAGTGCAGATATCACTTTGCGCTTTGGGATAACACACAGCACGTCTTCTCGCTTTCACGGTCAAATCGAAACTCAAACCGGAATCCCTCTCCTTTAGCTTACTTGCCGGACATTTAGCTTACTTTCTCCCGCTTTGGCAAAGCGGAACGGAAACCCAACTGGCTAGTGCCAGCCCGGCGGGAGGCGGCTCGCGGGCTCGGCAGTCGGCAGTAGCTCGAGTATCAGAGTAGGCACTATTTATTATTCTATTAACGTATAAATTTGTAACCTTTCAAATATTCTAGCCACTGTGTTTTCTGTTTAATTTATGAGGCAGCTAGTCGAAACAGTATTTGTGGAACAGTTGTACCGTGGTTGTACACTGTACAGTCTCTGCAAAAATTGCACGTTTTACGACGTTCAACGAGATTAACCGAACACAATCCTAATCCCTAAAAGAACTCCCCTTCTTTTAAGTTCTAACGTCTCCACATACCTGCTCCATGGTTGCAACATGGTTGCACCAGTAATCCAGTATAGTTCAAACATGGGTTACATGACATCTGCCTAACGTTTTCATTATCCGCATTATCTAAAGATACTACACAGTCACAGTGAGCTTTGACTAAAACGATTTTCATTAATCATTAGACCACTGAAAATGAATAAGCGGGACTTTACCATTCTCGTAACAGAAATTACAGAGAAGTATGACGTCGAACTTAGCGTATGTTTTTATGGACCTAAAATTAGGCGAGATATATTCTATTACTTAAGAATAACAGAGCATGAACTGTGCGAGACACCTTGACTTTGTGCATACCAACGGTGTGATATCAGGCACATTGCAGCGTTTGCCTTTATTTACCTTTAATCGCGTTACTCTAATATACACATTTCTACCTCAAAAGTGTTTAAAATAAATTGGCGGGCATAAGGGCCTGTAAGACGTGGGAATGCTAGCGGCGCGGTATTGTTTTAAGGTCTATGACTCGTGCCAAAGGTTTAGTTGTACCGAACGCCCTATGTTTCGGCTAAGCCGCTAAGGCGTGTAAGTCAGAGACCAGACTGCGCTAGCGTCTAATAATTTTCTTTCGAATTGTGAAATGAAACACAGAAGGAATTCTCCTTATTAACTGCAACTGCAGTTGCTAATTGATAATGATGTTTAAGGCAATAACATGGATAATAATGTTGAGTTAGTGTTGATGGGTAACTCTGCTAGAATTCACTAGGCTAGCAACGTTCCTAGAAAACGAGTTGCGGGAGTAACTGGAAGAAATATATGAACATGGTCGCTACAGATATCCGCCTCCTAGATCGAAGTAGGTTCGATCGATACTCTATGACTAGATTTGGCAAGTCGTTTGCGAGTGGTGGTTATTTTCATCACTCTCACGCCTCGTTTCCTTTTTAGTTGCAGGGAGAAACTCATTTTCTTGCAGTCGTTCCAAAGCTCTGGTGGTAGTGACACTGCAGAACTGAAGTTGCGGGATTGTTTTGTTGCTGGGCTGTGGTGTTGCACGAGCCTTTGGTGGTAGCTTCAGTGTAACTGCGGATACAGGCGGTCTGTCGGTTGACAGGGATGTATGCGAGTCAGTTGAAGCTGTGGTCTGACCGGTGACAGGCTAGGAGATCCTGCGGTAGTCCCGGGCATGATGTAGAGGTAGGCCACGTAAATGAAACAGCCTTAGCGTTGACAGATTTTTACAACCTCCGCAGTCAGACGCAGTACGTAGAATTACGGGTAGACGGGCTCCGTGTAAGGGGCAGTTTCCGTTCACGCGATGCAGTGATTGTTGCCCCACTGCGGAGGGAGGTAAACTCCTGGTGAGAGCTCCGGGTCGCCAGTTTGCAAGGCTGGCGGACTCCGTGTGGGAGGCAGCTTCCGTTCGCGCGATGAAGTGATCGTTGCTCCCGTGTGGAGTGGAGCGAGTAGTGGGGTGAACTCTTTCGAGAGCTCGGGGTCACCAGTTGTAGACGGTGGAGATTCTCTTGAGCTCGGGGTCACCAGTTGTAAGACGTGGGAATGCTAGAGGCGCGGTATTGAGTCCCTTAAGATCTATGACTCGTGCCAAACGTTTGGTTGTTCCGAACGCCCTATGGTTCGGCTAAAGCGTGTAAGTTAATTAGAAACCACTGACTGCGCTAGCGTCTTACAATTCTGTTTCGAATTGGGGAATGAAACGCAGAAGATATTCTACTCATTAATTGGCACGAGGTCTGGAGACCAGGTTACGCGCTGTATTATAGATTTGCAAATGATTATGACTACTGGAGTTACTTAATATTGCAACGTCTTAGGTCAGTGCTAATAATATGCTTATGTAGCTAAATCATATTTAACAGAATATCAACTGCAGTTGCTAATTGATAATGATGCATAAGGCAATAACATGGATAATAATGTTGAGTTAGAGTTGATGGGTAACTCTGCTAGAATTCACTAGGCTAGCAACGTTCCTAGAAAATGAGTTGCGGGGGTAACTGGAAGAAATATATAAACATGGTCGCTACAGGGCGATGAATTTCCAGTGGTCGGCCGAGCTTAATGGGTCTGGCTGAAAGCTCGCTAACTTTGTTTATTTGCTTCCACCGACTGGGAGCATTTGTATGCATAATGTACCACGAACCTCATCAACATCACTATCCCATATTTATTAACAGTCCTTTCGTAACTTTATGCTATCTACGAGTCGCGCAAAGCAATGATAAAATTCAGACGCTTGTATCGCATAAGAATGTAATTACGTGTGCTGAACTCAGTGAAGTACCGCTTATAGAATAAATATTCAATCCTATTAATAGCTGTCAACTTCCTCATCCACATCTTTTACATATATGTGGAAGTGAGCCACGCCTCAAGATCGTCATTCGCCGAGGACACCAGCGTACTGATGACGATTACGGACAGGGTAGACAGCGAGGTGCTGCAAGAAGACTTGTAAGAAATATACGACTGGGCACAAGTGAAGAAGGTGCAACTCAACATAACCAAGTTCGATATTCTGAGATACAGATGTGGGGGAAGAGTTGTTGTGGAGCACTGCTCCCTGGCACATATATGACGGCACTGAAATTGAATAGGTGCAGCTCGGGCATGATCTGGCAGTGTTGATGAATACCCCGGTTAAATTTCGTGATCACATAGCGGCAATTACCACAAGACAGGCGACAGGTGCAGTGGATCTGGCGGGCGTTCAAAACAAGAGAAGCAGAACCAATGATCACACTTTACACAGCCTTTGTGATCCTTCTTCTTGAATACTGAGGCCAGCTCTGGACCCCGTCAACGCTCAGCGCAGTGCGCCATCGGATGTGCAGCAAACCTTCGCGTCCAGGATCCGCATTATCCAGGAGCTAGCTGTACTACTAGGGGAGAGGAGAGGCATTTCACTCTGTACACATGGAAAATAATAACCGGACTGGCATCCAATTTTGAAAGAAAGATATTCAGGATTGAGACAATCCATAACGAGAGAAGGGGAAGGCTGCAGGTTACCTCCATTCCGTAACAAATCTACGGTCAGATTTCAATCTCTATGAGAAGGATCTCGTTCCGTGGCATGACCGATGCTGTTTAGCGTTTTACCAAAGCACTCGAGGGTGAGTTCACTCTGGAGACCTAAAAGAGACGACTGGATAGGTTCTTGGGCACAATTTTTGATCGTATGTCATCTGCACGATGCAACAGCATCGTGTATCAGCTGCCCCAAATAAGGGAAGACGCGCAGTAGTCGTGGACTGACCCCAGAAACCTAGGCAGCGAGGACGACTTGCCTACCGAAGCTGAAGGCGGTGGAATACAGAGGCCGCGCTCCAACATGGCCTGAAACTGCTACGTTCGAAACACATACTAAAGATTATAAATCAGTGCATTCAATTTCGGTGCTCACGATGTCAATACAGATATTGTGGTGTTGGGCCTTATAGTCAATTCTTTACCACATGGATACTTTGCCGGTTACGACCAGATATTTCGCTACTAATTGTGGTCTTCGAAGTCCCACCTCGCTGCCCTGACTGTTATCTATAGCAACTGTAAGGCTGTTTATTCTCATGATGTGTTCAGAATCAGAGCTAAACGATCAGGTTAGAAATCAAATGCTTCGTTATATGTATACGGCTTAGTGTTTTCAAGGAGATGAATAGTAGGCAGATTCAACATTCCAAAAGGTATACACATTGCTTAAAGATTATACAAGTAGGTCATTAAATACATTTCATTTTAAAAAGTTTCTTTTAAAGAGTTTTGTCAGTTCTTTAAACATGTCGAATTGAAGTCATATGAAAAATCATTTAATCTTTAAATTATAAAATGGCTTCAATGTACTGACTGATATGTTAATTTAAACATTTCATAAGGTTCATTACACAGCAACTCAATTTATCACTACTGATACGCATATCTTTATCTATCTAGGTTTATAGACTTGAAAATGCTACTACAGTAATATAAAGTGAAGGCGAATGATGATAGAATATTATACATTGAACATTCATACAACACATAGAAAATAACTGAACACGTATAAACGCGAGGACATTCTTCCGACAGCACGAAGGGCATACTATGATATAATATCAATTCCTTTAACAATTGTTCCATGAAATATTGTTTTTGTATATTAATAGTGGAAGTGATTATTTTGTGATCGTTATATCAAAACATATTCACCCATGTCAATTTTTTTAGAAGTTATTTACTTTCTAGACATTTTTAGAGAAATTACCTGTAAATATACAAAGTTATTAAAATAATAACAACGATTGGAAGGCTACAAGCAATGGCCCAAGGAAGTATAAAATAAAAAAGAAACGTAACATTGAAAATTTATCTTATCCACTTCCTCCAATTTCAGCATTTAGGAAACTCATCGGTCTAAAGTTTCGAGGGAAGAGTTTTACCAGTGATTCAAAGACCGGCCATATACAAAGCTGCCCAAAATAAAACACTAATCAAATGAAGAGATAAACAACAAAAAGACGACATAACTTCAACTACCAGACAGAGCACTTATGAGACGGGTTCATTTTCGAACTCGATTTACAATTCCAGTCTCGCGAAAATTCGGGCAAATTGCTCAGCGGGCCGTTGACTCTGAAGCGAGCGGGCGAGTGAGCCCCAGTCAAGATCCGTAGCTTCAGTGTCTCGGGCCTGTACTTGCCGCACCAAACGTTGGCCGCTGACAGCCAGAAAAGTTGTTTAGCTGTTAGCCCGAGCGCTGGTAACGGATTCTCCTCGCCGTGATCACTGACGTACTGATTATATGCGTAGTAAGCTTCTTTGATGCCGCCGTTGTCCGCTATGTTCTCTCCTTGGGTATTCACGCCATTCAGCTGAAACAAAAGAACTTAGGTAAAATATAGGAAGTTCGACAACATTTCTCTAAGAAGAAACCGCAAGCAATATTTTTGTGCGTCCCGCTTCTGTGCCCATATAAGACGAGCGGCCATGAGTCACAAATTCAAACATCAAACTAGAACCTGGAGTCAACACCCAGTTTCCGCAGCAATAGCTGCTCTTAGTCTCGCAGCTCAGGCCACTTATCCACCAGAGTGGTTTACTTCATGTTCCGCACCTCATGGAATTCAAACCCACGATTCTCCAAATGTAAACCCATCACTACCTCATATCCCAAAATAAAATTAGTGTGCTATGAATGGATTATATTTTGGTAAGTGGAGCAGTTTAAGGCAGTAATTGTGGATTTATGTCCAGGGGAATGCTGGTCCACGGAACGGAATTTTAACCTGAATGTGAAGTCGAGCATTGCTAATCAAAAAGTTACTCGTACAGAAGTAGTCATGCTAATAATTAATTCGCAATTTTAGAAAAAAGTTGGTGTTTATTTTTCGATAGTTTGACTGGAGGTAGAACACAAGGAACGGACAGAGATATGGACGACCCTTATTAAAATTATTCTAGCAGTAGAGTGCAACTTATTTGCTGCCATAATCGAGGTACAAAAGTTTGCAATAAATTTTAGTCATGGTCGTCTAATTGTTAACCTCATAAGATCGAAAAATTTTGTAACCTGGCTGCGTCCAAAAAATTGCACGTATTTTGTAGATTGATTGAAGTCAAGGCATTCATCAGCGGCTCAATGAGCTTCAAAGTCAATCAACGTACAAGTAGAGGTAACTTCTTATGCATGCAGTGCGTTGTATACGGAAGCACGGTAATTATTTCGCCTCACCTTAAGTCCTACTTCAGGCTCCGTATAGTTGCCGTACTGATAAATGATGCATTTGGATTTGTCTATGAATTTCGCTCTTGTCTCGGGCTTCCACCATTCCTTGAGGTCGCCTTTGTAGTCGAACTGGCGACCCTGTATGGAAAGTTGAATTAACTTTGCTAAAACTTGACTAAAATTAATGCGTTAAATTGTAGTCAACACATTAAACAGCAAGAAAAATTTTAGTTCTAAATTCAAGCAGGAAAACATTTTAAACTGCAACATTGGCTTAATTTTAACTTTGAATTTCAAAAGCAACTTTACTTCATATTATAGTCACAAATAATATCACTTCCTGGATGCAGAGTTTGACCGGAGCAAAGTGCCAAAGTATGAGAACAGCTCACCATGTCGTCGAAGCCGTGCGTTATTTCGTGGCCGATCACGAAGCCGATGGCGCCGTAGTTTAGATACTTGGGGCGGTCAGCGTTGAAGAAAGTTCCTTGCAGAATTCCGGCCGGGAATTCTGCAATACAATTTGAGTCTTACACTCAGTTTCCGTCGTTTTACTTTTGCTAAGACTCTTTACTCTCAGAAGTGGATATTGCCATTGATATCATCTTTGAAACATGTCAGAGTCAAACAATTAGCCCCACTGCTAAAATCCAGATAGTCATTTTTCTTGCGATTAGTGAAGCTGTTTCTATAGAAAAAAACCTGGCTGCTAAATTTGTTAGAAAATAAGCTTCTAACTTCCTAAAACGATAGTAAGGCTTATAGTTTCTTACGGATAGAGTTTTCAAGTGGGCTGTAGAAGGCATTAACGACAGCAGCGGCACCATGCTTCTTCCAGTCGTTCTTGTCGACCTTCTCTCTAAGACGCTTGAAGGAATAATCCGTGCCAAAAATGGTCAAGTTGCGCATATTTGAGAGAAGTTCACCGTCGGAAATTTGTAGCTGAAAATAAAGTTGAATGGAGTGTCATGTAACATGTTCAAGATAGTATCTTTTAATTTTAGAGTAATAGCGGCGATGTGTTCACTCAGATTATCTGTTTCACGAAATAAAAACTTTCCTAGAATTTCTGTACGTAAATCATATCAGAAAATTAGGAGAAAAAAAGAGAATATCTCAGTAATCGTGGTCAATTTTGGGGCCAAGATCGAGCGGCAAAAATGGAAAAACTTGAGTCAGTGTCACCCTTCCATTTCTTAACATACATCTGTGTGAATCGCCGGTTTTTTTTATCAATGGAGTTTAAACAACTGTTGAAGTCATCGAGACACTGCAGAGCTCGTTTAGTCCAGAATCTTTAACGTTTGAGTTATTATCCTGCTTGTCCCACAGTATTATCCTAGCCCAATTAATCAAGCTTTAAGGATCAACTGCTTTCAAATTACTCGATATCTGCCAGTGAGATACTTGGAACTTAAACTCATCAATGTGCAATACACGTGATGATAACTTAAGAAATATTTTGATATGAAGAAAAATTACAATCTGGCACAGAAGACTCGATCCCTAATAAATGATTGATTAAAATAATTCTCACATCTTTGTATAGCTCAGTTAGTTTTGTTTCATCCAAGAGTTCCTCCGGGTAGGCGATGTGGGGCGTGATCGCCAGGGACTTGTTGATGGCGCGGATCCTGGTCTCGTCGTCCATCCAGTCGACAGTGCGCAGAATTTTATCGAATTCCGCCCTGATGTAGGATACCATCTCATCTGCTGCAGCCTTGGCGTCCTTCTTGAAGAATTTTTCAGCGTACAGTTTGCCCACAGCGTACGAAAGACTGTAAGCAAACAAATTTATTAGTGGCACTTTAAATTTCATCGTCGCATTATGTTCACAGCACATATATTAAAATGATGAGATGAAGATTTGATACTCGCTCATTGTCAGGTAAAATAAAAGAAAAGCTTTCCTGCATTTAGCACTCCTTCTCATTTGGAACGTGTTTGATATTCTCATAATGGAGAGGCCAGCTGCAGAAATTTCAAATTTCTAGTTCATTAGCAACTCATTTCAGTTTCTATGAATCATTGGGCTGCATCCTTGTGGTCTAGGTGAAAAATTTTCCAATCTATGTACATCAAACAAGCTTATTTATTGTGTGCTTTCAAATTTGAATATAATAAAATTATATTTATTAGTTTTTCTCGTCTGTATCCGTCAGTCCCTACTTGAAGCAACACGAAGAAGTAAATCTACCTGCCCGACACGGCTCCCATGCACTCCTTCCACCTAGGCTTCCTCTTGCCAGTTCCAGTGATCTTCTTGGAGTATACGAGTTGCAGATCACGCGCGTCCTCTGACAAGTAACTGATGGATGCCGCAGACAGCCGCCACATCATGTAGTTCGCGATTACTCTGTGGACAGACGGCAACTATATTCCGCTACTGACGCTCCCGCAATCTACCCGCACTACTCTGCACAACCCACTAAGGCCCTGGCAGGTTCCCTCCTCTTCCCATCGACCAGAACACAACAACAATGAACAACAACCAACCTAGTTATGCACAAGTATTTTGTTTTAGTTTATCGTATATCTTTTCCCACCCTTTTTCAGGTAACTCTGAGCCACCTCTCCACACTCCTTCCTAGTGGCACCGAAACAACAAGAATACTGAAGATCAAGCAATAAGTTCGCAAGTTATTACTAACATAAGAATGTAGATGACCGTTAAAAAAATTTCCTGAGTATTGTTTCTGTTTATTTGATCTGGGGTGTTGGTAAATGTTTCACTGCTTTCTTTAATCTACCATTGTTTCAGTGAAAATATGTCTAACAGCTATTTCGTTTCCCTTGTCTCTATATGACTTCATTAAATCGGTACAATTTCAATAGCCCCTATACATTTCATATTACTGTGGTTTTTGTTTTTGAAATTGGTCAACGCGAAAGTTTTACTTATCCTACCTTTTATCTGTTCTCAAAAGGAGTTTCCCCAAATTCTCAATGTAAGACGGCACATTTACGATGACTTCTTCACGTTCGGTGACCTGAAAAGAAGGAATAAATTGAACTCGAGGTTAGGCAAAGCTATTATTCCTTAAATTGATTCCTAATATTTTAATATTTTACTTCGTTTATTTACTTCACCGATTTCAAAAAGTTTTTCAAACGCTATGCTGTTAATCGAATGGGATTGAGATGGGCGAAATTACAACGGAGAAACTAATCGCATTTGAAAGTTTGTATAAAAATATGAGCTTCTATGAGCAAAATCAAGCCATGAGTGGTCTGGTACGCGAAACAGATAAAGACAAGCCACTCGCTCAATGAAAGCAGATATGCCAGATGCTTCTAAGTATTAATCCATGTATTCTTGCCAGTGGGTTGATCTGGAAATATCATGGTACTTTCACAGGCTTCAACTACTTCTCTTGATTAACTCACAGTAGTGAAGGGCGACAAGATGGTGTTTATGTACGACAGCCACGGGATATTGGGCACCCTGCCCTGTAATTCCGCCACGGTCATCTTGTTGTAGAGCTTCGTGGCGTTGCGACGCTGTTCTTTCGGCAGTGAGAACTGTGAGGTAACATGGAAATCGGTTATTATAAGCTTTTATTTTCAAATATGAACCTTTTCTGTTGTTCCATTACACTCCGGTCTGCTTCTTTAATTAAAATTGGACAGGTGGATTCTAGCACTGTAATACATTATTGGAAATCAAAATTTTCCTAGAAAAATACAGTTTTACATGGAAAATCGAGAGAAAATTTGAACAATTCCTTTTAGTAGAGGTGCTTGTGAGATAAATCCATCAACGATCACTACAATCGAGATACAAAATGAGACTTTCTTAAAATCCCGCTCACATTGGCAAGTTGTATCTCGAACAAGAGGCTCTCGGTGAGTTCGAGTTCGGCGGCTGTGCGGTTGGCGCCGAGGAGCGCGGCTAAGGAGACCTGGTAGTCGAGATACGCCCGCACGTCACTGTCGTTCAGGCCGCGCAGCAGATACTCCCGAGACGGCATACCCAGGCTCGGCTGGTCGATCTGATACAATGAAAATGTATGATGAAAAGTTCAAGATCCTCTTCCGATGTTCAGTGGACTCAAGGGGAGCGCAGCCGTGCTCCAATAAGCCCTGAATCGAACTCCTTGGAACTCTCCGGACATCCACCTATCAGCCGTGAATGGAACCTGCTATCCGTAGCCGACCCTTGACATCATTCTGCTTTGAATATTTTGAGCTCTACACCTCCCAGACACGAGGTCGAATAGCCTAGAGTCGAATGGCCGTCCACCACTGAACGTTGCGTCGAAGCATCACTTCATAACCTGGCCACCGCTTGAACTGGAACTTGCGCGCAACACCCTGCGACCACTCGGCTTTGTCCTCCTCCGGCCTTGCATAAAACCTGCCGTGTACCACCAGACCGCGGATCGAATATGACTTCCAGTCATCATTAAATTACGTAATTTTACCCTCACCGCATCTGAGGTTTGGTTTCAGATAGCATAGTTCTGTTCCAAAATTTATCGTACTTCGACGAGTTGTTCGACCGAGGGCTGGTTCGACGCACGGCCTAGATACGGACGGCTTAGTGGCGGATATCACGTTCGCTGCAAGGCTCAGGCGCGCTACGTCCGAGTGGTGCAGAATTTTTTCGCGGTACGGCGGACGATGCTATGCCATTCGATCGACGACTGTTTCTCCTGAGGGCTGATTGGCCTAATTCAATTGATTCGTTCTGTTTGGTGGCTTTCGGCTGCCTATATGATTGTCCAGAAGTGTTGAAGGCTACGTTCCGGAAAACAGGAATCATGATGGTCCATTACATGCAGGGCAGTGGTGGTCTTCGGCAGGCGACCCGACTTCAAATTCAGTATCCTCCAAATCCAGATGATTTAAAAATCCGTATCCTCCAAATCCGGATGATAGGCGTATGGATTCCCAATCCCGCCGCCTCTCAATCCTTCCAAGCTTTATATCAATCAATGAAAATCTCTAATCAGTGGCCTTTTTTTACAATCAAAGAGAAGTTAATAATTTTACCACGTGTTTGCGAAAGGATCGCCTTCGATGATCAGTAGTTTTGCGTATTACAAAGGACGGTTGAAAAGGTTGAAAAGATTGATGGTTCTAGAATTTATAGTTTAGAGTTGAAAAGATATTTACAGTATGAAGAAACTACTATCTAGATTTATATAAGAAGACGGGAAATATAACGAGAAAGTACAGAAACAGGCTTTTTAGCCAATTCATAGTTTATCACAGAAAGTTAAGTAATTGTAGAAAACTATTGACTGGACACTTACATAATTTATTCCTCAATATCTGGGAGCAAGTAGCCTCAAAGACGTCAACGTCGTCATTAAGTTCAGGATCGAATGATACATTTTCTTGGTACTATCATGTAAACGCACAAATTTAAGTACGATTAAAAGTCTTCTGAGCGGATTCTGGCTCCATGAATGAGAACTCATATTGCAAGATGACATGGCATTTGATTCCGGGATGGTTCAATTCAGTGTTATCTATAGACGCGCCAAAAGTGATTAATTATTAATGTGGAATTGTACAACAGAATAACGAGTTTATCACCATTCCTATAATTACTCTAACTCATCGAATGACTTAAACGTCGGATATTCTACTCTAATTTTTAACTGTCATTGCCCTGATGAATCTTGAATACGGACGTTCTAAAAGTCATACTCACGTCAATAATTCTCCACGACGAGTTTTTGATGTTGGTGGTGATGGAAAAGTCAAACAGTAGGTCAACGGAGTAGCCGAGCCGCCTGTTGATGTAGACGTTCTGGACCCAGTCGAACCTGTTGCGGTCCCAGGCAAAGCCCTCCACCGCCGGCCAGCCGCCCATCTCCCGCAGGATGTCTTTCAGCGGCTGCAGGCCTTGCTCCGCGATGCGCTCTGTGCCGGAAATGGTTTTTTGGCCGACGAATATTAAGAGTTTCATATAGCGGTAGGATATTTTTCTCCCCTGAGCATCATGAATGTACCCAGATTTATTGAGAAAAGTGAACAGAAGTGATTTGGACCCACTTACACCTTGCTAACCCTGCATGGTTATAAAATTGCTTCGCGATGCGCTCTGTGCCGGAAATTGTTTTTTTTGGCCGACGAAGATTCAGAGTTTCTTATATCGGTAGAGTATTTTTCTCTCCTGAGCATCATGAATGTACTAAGGTTTATGGATAAAAGTTTACAGAAGTGAACTTACACTTTGCTAACTCTGCATGGCCAAAAAATGTGTGCTATAACTCATCTGCTTGAAATTAAGATACGTTTATACGACTAGACTTTAAATTTTTGAGTATTGGCACTAAAGCACGTGTTCACTTGTAGGGCAGCTTGACCATCAGGCTCATGGTTACTTTAATAATCATTATCTCTTTTTTTAAAAACACCCGCTTTTCGTACCCGTGTTCATGCAGGACTTGTACAGCTGCTTGACCATCAGGCTGCTGGGGGTGTCCTCGGAGGAGTCCTCGCTCTCGACGAGCGTGCGCAGCTTCTCCTGAAGGACATCCGAGACGTCGCTGAACTGCGATATGGAGCTCTTCTCGTCGGGGATGTTCTTGGTTTTCAGATAATTACCGCATGCATACTCGAAGAAATCCTCACATGGGTCCATTTGCGGGTCCATGTTTTCGATCAACTCTGATGCTGAAAAAAAAAATCAAAATGAACCGTCGTTCCCTGCTAGGAATTACCGAACCGTAGTGCTACTGCTTGCGTTAACGCTTTCTTGCCACGGATCTAAACAGTCAAGCATCTGCAAATATTAAGAGAAAAATCCGAAGCCACTACCATGTTGACCGAGTCTTCCCCTGACTGTGCATGGGTTGAATTACAACGGCCCAGTTGGACGTATCCCCTAGTGTTCCTGTACAAACGGCCGAAATGACGGAGTAATTGATGGACAGTATTTTCAATCACGAAATTCAAGTCTACAACAGCGATAGCAGTGGTGTTGACAGTAATAATATGAGTCAATTTGGAAACAAATATCGTTATAAAGTAATCTTAAGTTTCCGACCGTAGAAGATAAATAAATACTCTCACGCCGAAACTCAGGTATTGTTACTTCATTTAACTATCCAGTGGTTTACAGAAATAATGTAGTAGGTCGGAAATTGGCATTTGCATTTCTTCGGGACTATCGACCAGGTAGAATATATCAAATCCTATATTATTGCGATTTAAATAAATTTCAACACCATTAGTTCATAATATTTCAACACGTGAATAATTATTTAACCTGGGTTCCATTGGACCCTGAACTAATGTAAGCGAATATTACTAATGAAAATCATGAAATGCAGACATGCCATACGAATTTCAAGTGGTAACAAAAGAGCTGAAATGGAGTCCAGCCTTGACGGCCAAATCTTTTTTAATTTTAAACTTTTTTTTTTATAATTACCAAGAAAAACAAGGTCAAGTTCGAATGTAATTATTAAAAATTAATAAAAAGAACTAACATAAATAAAGAAAATGAAATTCATTGTGAATTGTTCCATATGTATCACACCAATCGGAAAATTCTATTTCACGCTTATAAGTTAAAAGTGTCTCTTCGAGTAGAAACAGTTACAGTGTGGTAAATTTTGAAACATTTTTTTTTTTTTGAATATTTTGCTGTATCAGTCATAGTCCAATAACCGTAACTTTGCAGCAATAGTACAAAAAAAATTATAAGGTATCGAATACTATGTTCCAGCCAGGTTCGGAATAATGGAGGCTGTGAAACACTAAACGAGCAATCGAATCCTTGATTACCGACAGAGGGAGCACTCTTCTGGAGCACCTCGATCGCCAATTCAGTTCATTTCCATGGACCAAATCAGGCCATTAAGACCGGAGACACTGGAGGCCTGTCCTGTTAACACGGCTCTACCGCAGCGCCAGATGAGCTGATAAGACCGTAATGTGTGCGGACATCTTATCACAGGAAGAATTGAGCTCGACATACTCGTGAGAACTGGCGTTCAGCGATAACGCGGGACTGAGAAAAAACTAGTAAGAACTATAGTACTTGTTAGAACTGTAGCTGAACAAAAACACGGGACTGTGCAGAACTGCTGATCACTGAGAACTAGTATTTAGTAAAAACTGGGGATCAGCGACCACACAGGACTAAGCGAGAGCTAGCTAGTACCGTGGCTCAGAGAGAACTTGAGCTCATCGAAAACAGGAGCTCAGAAGTCAGGCTAATATATAGAACAGAAACTTAGCGCGAATTAGAGTTTAGTGAAAACTGAAGTGAAAGCTGAAGCTCGTTCAGTGCACGAGTCAATGAGAATTCAGACTTGGAAGTAAACAGAGATGATAGAGAAATGGTGACAAGCAAATAACTCGGTGAGAACCCTTTACTTAATTCTCCACTCGACAATCGCGTGGCAAGCGGCATGACTGTCGACCATGTAGATATGAGTATTTCAGGGGACGTTTATTCTGATTTTCTCGGTAAACGAAATTTTTTAAACGCAACATGAAATTAACTGCATTTATTCCTTAACACAGAATTGCGTACACAGAAAACCAGAAAATAGACCTTGTGATGTATGTTTTGCCGTGATTAAAACAAAGCGCGATAATTACTTTCCCAGCGTCGATATTTTTCAGTTTCAATCAGTGAATTGTCACGACAATATCTTGAAAATTACTCTGTTCATTAAACAATCGTTTGATGTTACAGAAATATATTCCAAAACCGGTGATATTATATATTATAATATCACTGGTTTTGTAAGTCGATCTTGACAATCACCTTATTTCAGACGATATGCACCTGCGAACGATTACATTGAGTTCAATTCATGGCCACCGGTAGAGGAAGTGATATTTTTCTGGCATTGCACTTAATTGTGATAATATCAGTGGGAATGTCTAGTCTTCTGCATCTTCACCCCTTGCTTGACAACGAGTCTATGAACGCACAGGAAACGCCAATTTGGTCACGAAATAAGATTCGCTGCAATCAGACGCGATACAAAGCTCAAGACCACTCAATCGTATGATGGTGGGAATGTTTCATTGGAAATATTGATAAAAACCGCTCCTCTGATGGGTCAACGCGGGGCCGTCGGTGATATAATCGCGGGACAGCTTCCGGCACGGGGCAGGTTACAGGACAAGCGCAAATTTTCCTCTGAGCAATTACGATGCCGTTTTGAGCGAGTAAGATACATAATCGAATCATTCAAATCACCAGTAACTGTGATTAATACTCATGTTATGCATTAAATTCCATATAAAATAAATAAAAATTTAATCAATCAGAGTCCATTTATTGTTGTGCACGCTGGTAATACAATATTATAAGATTTCTATTCATATTGTTAAGAAAGTTTTCAGCAGGATCAAATACTATCTAAATTCTATGGAAATTATCTATTTCAGTACATTATGTTTATATTGATTTTAAAGCTATGATGTACTATTTAAAATATGCATGTTACTTACCGGAGGTGACGCAGCCCTTGGTGAGACATATGCCGGAAGCTGAAGCGGTTTGGCCTGTGAAAGTTGTAGAAGAATCGTTAGCTTGCTTAAAAGTGTCTGAAACTTGATCAATCATCGTTGGGGTGGTAGGTGTGGTAATGGCAAGAGAGGCTCGAACTGAACTAAGCGTTGTGGATGAAACCAATGCAGGGCTTTCGAATGAGGAGCTGGATATGTTCGTTGACACGACTTTAGCGATTCTTGGTGATTTAAAATCTGAGGCTGGCTCAGAAAGAGAAGCGATTTTCAACGAAGGTGAAGAATCTGGAGCCAAAATTACTTCCGCGGGTTGCTCTGGTTTATGATCATCGTCTTCGGTTGCATTGTTCTCATCATCTCGCTCAGAAGCCGACGTCGATGTAAACAAAGAGGAACTCTCATCTTCGTCCAGAATTGGGGCCAAGGTGGTCCAACCATCGGCAATCTGGCTTTCTGAATGCTTGACATTTGATGTTTCAGCTCCAGTTAAGGAAAATTCAATGGTGGTGGATTTTCTCGGCTCAAGTCCACGGTTTCCAGCCTCTATGATGCTAACCGACTTCTCATCATTTACTGAGGACTGTAAACCGGCTCCAGTTTGGGATTTACTAAGTAACTTGAGAGCCCAGTCAGGATCGAATTGGATGTTTTCGATTGATTCGAATCGATCGGTGGACGCTGACTCACGGAGTGATCGTTTAAACTTGTTATGACTAACTGAAACTCTAGCCGAAGTATCTTCTGTGTATCCAAAATTTCACTGATGAATAATTTATGTAACACCGATGTCGAAAAAATGCACTACCAGATTGTGAAATATGATGAGCCACATGATGAGTGAGCGAGAGTGAACGGGTATAACAAAGCCGCTAGCAATTAATGATCGTAAGACTTTTCATTGATGAAAGATTGCGGCATGATTGCGCAAATAAAACAATTAACTTGGAGGTGCCCTCATGTGGCGGGTGATGATCGAGTCCGACGAAGTACAAATATTCCAAGACTTACCACAAAACTAAGGTGTTATGACGCAGTATACTCAACAGCAGAGCACCCAACGAGGTGAACACAGTGATGCCCGGAAGCCAACAGACGTCCGTTGTTCAGTCGACAGTCAGATGACGTCACGGTCGGGTGGTCGTCACTCGAACGAGTTCATATGGTCGTTTAGAAGTGAAGCAGAAAATGAAGCAAGAATACATCAGCAGTTAGATTTGATGTCGAAAAAAGGGATTAAAAGTATACAGTAGTAGATTTATTATTCTAAAATTTGACGCAATACTATGGAAGATATATGAGGGAGAAAGTGTAATTGCTTAACGAAAATATGTTAATAGAAGAAGTAAAGCAGGAAGAAGGCAGGGAAATAAGATAAACGACAGGGACAGAGAATCGCACAATCCAGTTTTTGTGCGCAACGACGCAACAAAAGTCGCGACGAAGACCGGCAGTGATGAGCGACGGGGGGAGGGAGGAGAGTGCAATTAGCTACAGGAAATTACGTGAATTTGCACGAATGATAATCAAGAGCTCGCAAACATCACTTCCAACTAACATCTGTGTAGTAATGAAGATTTTATAATTTTGGTACAACATTTTTGCAAAACTTTAGAGAGTGAGAGTAAAATTAATAGAGAGATTGAAATTTCTCTGTTTTCACTATAAATCTAAAAAATAATTCAGAAGCGCGACAGTATGACATAATTAAAAAACTTCGCATTTATATTTCACAACAAAATGTGGCTTGTTAATTTAGGTTGGTATTTAATTCTATTCACATGACAGAGGAAACAAATTTTTCCCATGACAGAAGAACCCCAAAATGAATTCCGTTTGCCTTTTCCAGCAATTTCTAATAAACAGAACAGACAACTTAAAAAAAACATATTTTTATTTGTATTATCGGTGTCAATTGGGCGGGTTGATTTTTTTTCTATTGCACCATCGATGGCTGGATCAAACTTGCTTTGGTTAGAAAATTCTATGAATAATAAATTATAGAGAAAAGTCTACGGTAATCGAAACCCACATTTAATTTACTCAAAATAGTACGTCCATATTTATATTTTGTTAATTACACATATTCCAATGAAAAACACTATACTTTAATGCAATGTTTGAAAAAATTCTATTTGAGTATGATTCTTTAGCATTATTTGCCCCGATGTTGCGTTGAGAGTTATAACAAAAGCACTACACATTCCTGAAAGCCCGTTAACCTACAAGGAGTGCGTCTGGGCTGTTGAGCTCCAAGTAATTATCTTCATCCAGGAACTGAGCCCGCAAGGTGATCACAAACTTAAGAGTTTACAGTGGAAAGTTTAATCGAGCAAACAGGAAGGTTCATTTGAGGAACCCTAGTATAGGTAAAAGAGTGTGGCTAGAGTAAGGGCTACTCTAAACCATTGGGATCACCAGTTCAGATCTTGAATAACAATATGATTGTACAGACAAAATATACATTGAGTGTTGCAATAAACTTGTGCCTCATATTTAGTTGCTCAGAAATGATGTAGGATTGAAAAACTCGGCAGCAATAGGCGCTGCAGAGGGAAGATTGAGCGGTAGAAATTTTGTAATCCAAGTTCATTCATTTACATAAAATATATAATTTACTAATCCATTTGTAGGGAAAAGAATATATGCAAAAGAAGTTAATGAAAATAATTCAGTTCTTTCCGTCCATATTTTTTATCTATGTCTCGTGATGTTGAAATGGAACCATTGGACATACAACATAATTTTTTTCACTCACATTGGAGAAGCTGACTGAAACTTCAAAGGCCATAGATATGAAGGCCATATTAACCTGTTATAGATATATTTTTTACAGTCTAGTCATCTTCCTGCATGGTTCCACATACAGAAGTCAACGGGTCGTGAGTAAAAAACTTCCCTTAATAATATATGTCGAAAGTACCGTCGCTCAAACAGTTATTGATGTCAAACATACCGATGTTTCCGTGGATGTTGATGCAGAAAATTCAAGCGATCACACCCCAGTTGTCACAGCATCCGAATACCAGGTAAGGTACGTGAGATTCCCAATTATTTTGATATCTTTTAATGGACACTTCCAACAGCGACAATTTTCCAACAAAATTAACCAACATTATTCATCACCATTATTATGCCGGAAACCTTGAATGAGTTAAAAATGTAAAAAATTAAAAAAAGAGTAATATTTTAGTAGACATGATCAGAGTAAACTGTACATTGTCCAACCTTGACGAAAGAAGAAAGTTGAATTTTGCTTAGTGATATATTAAGCGCAAGGGCTCATGTTTTAGAAACTGATTGAGCAAATGCACCCAGCATTGCGAAATATGCATGAAAATCGTGTAATGATTCCACATCAATGTACATATTTCTCATTTATTTTTGGAACAAACAAAAAATGAGGCATATTATTAAAAATGAAGGAATGTCATTATTTAAGTAAACAAAATAGATTTGTCACGTTATTGTTTTCATGTCCGTTATGTTATTTTCTATGAAGATAAAACAAGTTGATCATTTGAAATTGGAAACATATGCCAAGATTTGTGGTAAAATACATATTTCAAAGTTAATATTATACTATTGAGAGTAAGGTTTCTACAGGTTAGAACACAAGCAAATAATTACACTATTAATATTAATATCGTTCATTGGCATGAACATGAGTCTATTGAATTATTTATTAACATATGGTCAAATAAACTTTCTCTACACCGAAAAAATTAGTTTCCAGACATAGTACGGAGAGGTATGTCTGGAAGCTCCGTAAATGATGTACGGAGGAAGGTATGAATTAGAATACTAGAGAAATGAATTCTTGTACCAGAACTCTGTTAAAATACGTGAAGCGACATGTTCAACAGGTGTAGGAATCGCCATAAGCTCTTTTTTGTTAAACTCTCCTGTATATTATTTGATTAAATCGTAAGCTAATAAACGGCGAGGTTGTGTGAGCGCCAATTAAGTACCCCATATTACGATATAATAAATTTAATAAACTAAAGTCTGACCTGCGAACAAGCTGTTAGGAGAAGAACCAGCGATGACGGCGGCCATGGCGAGACACACGGCGATGAGGAGGAACAAACTCACGGCCACCATCGCCAGCAGCGCCACCTCCAGGCGCGTGCGCGACACCCACCATCCTCCGCTGGGCCTGCAGCACGGGACGAGAGATTGATCACTTAAAATTTTACCGTGAATGGAGCACAAAGAAATTTAAAATGTAGTGAAACATGAGATGAGATACATAATTAACTTTCTAAGACGTTAATTTTGCACAATTTTTACTAGATCGAGAAACAAAATATTTATAGCTAATAGGTTAAACGCGATGTTACTCCACAGAGATTAACTTAAATATATACTTGATATAAAATACCTATCATAATTACCTATAATATTGATATATGAAAATTTATTTTTATGAATTAAATAATAATTCAATATTAAATTAATAAATAAATTCACAATAAATAAACATAAATTTGAATTATATATTTTATGTAAGGAGGACAAAGACCAACCATATCTCCCTCTCTGATTAAAATGTTCAAATTATATTACTATTAAATAAAAACATTCACGTAAACTCCAATTTTATGAACAACATCAATTTCTACTGCGATTCGAACTTTTAACAGTCATTATTGAATTAGTTTCAAAATGAAAATTTAGATTCAATAAAAATTTGATTTTGGCAGCCCCTCCGCGTTTCGTCAAGTCCAGCGATTACAGCACTGATAACAAAACTGCCGATCTAGATAACATCCTGCGCTCCGATAACGTCCGACGACTTTCAACGCCTGGCTATGCAAATGCATACAAAGCAATCACACAATTCACACATGCATTATAAATAAACTGATAATAATAATGATTTCGTACAAATATATTTATAGACGCGTCTTGCTGCATGAAGTTGCTTACATAAAAACTGGAGTTGGCAGTATTTACACACGATAGAACGTGAAGAAGGTAAACTCGAAGGTCTTATGACATAATCTTCAAAGATCCCACCACCAAAAACGTTAGAGTGTCGGTACTAAAATATACATTTCGGAAATCACATATTCTTGACCCCCCTCCGAAATATTCTTGCTATTAAGAACGCGGAAGCGATCGAAGTTTGCGTCATCAATCTTGAGGGCTGAAGTCGTCAAAATTCTTGGGATGGGCAGCTCAAGGCGGACCAAAAGAGCTGAAATTAATGGCGGTTACGGGCCTAATTACAATCATAAGTTTAGAAGTGCCCTCTATCGGAAAAGTAATGCAATATCGGCCAACAAAACTCAATATGTGAGGCTCCAGCCCACGGTCGATTGGCATCCGAAATTCGCGTCCACTGCAATGGTGATCGAAATTCTTGGTTGCCCCTAAGAATTTAATATTACGTTCAGTTAGAGCAATTCTGGAGCTGATATGTAAATGAATCAATTTCCACCAAACACTTGAAATAAATTAAATGGTTATTGATTCTGCATTTTATGCAACTATCACATGAAAGAAAAAGGCTACAATTTTTAGCCTCACAACGTTGAGGACGGTTATGAACATGCTTAATGCTGTATTTTCATATTTTAACTAAATATTCTATAAGAGCAGTTTTGCACATTAATGGATTTAATAGGTTATGGAAATAGAGTGACACTGTCATGTGAAATGGCTGCAACAACAGAAAGTCAGGGAGAGGCTCTGTCCTTTATTTATAGTCTGCATTTTAACTAAATACTTTAATTGAAACCCCATCTTCATCCACGTATCGTTCGACGGAACAGAAATCGATGACTTGAGTCCCGACACCAAGCAGTTATCCCAACAAAAGTGCAGCAGGTCTCCAAATTTGCGGATTCAAAAAAAGCAACTCAAATCATGCACTGATACTAGAGCCTTCCTGTGTGTGTATGACTGATGACCAAGAAGGTCTTACTGGTTATCCGGTGTCCAGGCCTCCGTGATGAATGGATGTTCCATGACCAATGGTTACATGGCCGCTTCATCCATGGCAAACAAATAGACCACGGTTGGGCACCCATTTATAACATTTCTATTTTATGTGAAAAAAATTTTCATGCTAGGTCATGAGCAGCATGAGCTTGCAAAGCATATGCCATTCTGAATTAAAACAATTCCGGCCTGTGTAAAGCCATCCAAAAAAATTCTGACGTTAGACAACATAAAGGCACCGAAATTCGCACATCCATGAAATTATGAGGCCGTCGCCCAACTATAAAACGCACCAGCTCGTTACGATGCTATGTAGACTAATCTTCGAGTGTTACCCATTCGATTATTTATCGGCATGATTTTTTTCGAGAAAAAATCTTTGCGCAAATTTCCATTTTGCGGTCGACTATATGGGCTATAAATAGAGTGAATTTATCGAATTTAGTTTATTCTATGCAATAAATATTATTTTATTAATCAACTGTATTTCCGTTACAGTATAAAAGGATGCCAGATTATTCAGATTTCCGCGTAATGTACATGTGAAATTGTGAGCACTTTAATAAATATGCTGAGAAGAGTTACAAAACGTTTGCAATGAGATATTTAATAAATAAATACACATAATAAATTCTTGAAAAATAACTTTTTCTTGCTCTAAAAAATAAGTTCTTGTAATAGACAGAAGGACTTGAATGAATCTACCATGTCACGGCAATGGTCCATCCTTATGTAAACAAAATGTGAGAGTAAACCGAAGCTATCGCAATGGTTGAGACATTCTGGGTTGAGGTTGACACCTCCAGACCTCAGGTCTCAGATGCACCGTGTTCATCTCCCAAAATACTCACTCATCTTCTTTAGTGTCATTTTGTAAAATTGTTATGCGCCGTTACTGAATGTTTGAGTTTTGATACTGCTGTAAAACTACATACTGCTGTAAAAGAACACATATTTTTCGTATATGAAAAAATTTAAATATTGTTAGTTTCTATCCACTGCTTTTATTCTATGCACTGCTTTTTAACTTATTCACACATTATTTTTCTGTAAACCCAAATTGTAACTTCAACTCATGATTTCAGCCAATTTATTTCTTCTAGCCGTGAAGAATCAATTCAATAGGATACTAAATTAAAGTTTTCCCACAGAATAAAAATTAAAGAAAATCAATAGAAAATTTCTTATTTTTATTTGACGTTTCTGTCTTTAAAGTTCTTAATTTGCTAGCGAATTAGGTAAAGTAAAAAAATAACATTCATGCGTTTTCATATTTGCGATCCATCGGACACTTCGATGCTGGCTACCAATATAACATAACTGCACAGTATCACTTTATTTGCGCTCATTCATCTATCCATTCACGCCACGGATAGTATCACAATCCTTACCTAGTCTCTGGCTTTGTTAGGCCCGATCCTCACCTAATCTTGGCCGATCAGTTGATAAGGCGATAGATGAAAAGGGACGAGTTAATGGTACGTGCAAGATAATAGAACCGTAGCAAATTCCTTCCATCAATAATAATTACCACGTAATATTTAGTTGAAAAAGTTGAGAAAAATGGCAGAAACATTGGCAAAAAAACGTTTTACAATAAATTTATTGGGAGACTGCACGCAAAATTATGCACTAAATAGAGGAGTTTTTGCAAATCCTGTATTATCGTGAAGCTGGAGCTCATGAAAGCTCACCATGAAAAATAATTGTACTTGAAGATTTCATGCTCGTGTCTTAAATTAGAAGCACTTTGATGGTCCATTTGAAGCGAAAGTCAATCACAAGCACCAAGACCGTAAAACACGCTCTACCTGATTTGCATATTTCCGAGCCCCGGATGCAGAGAACGTCCTGAATTATTGGTGCAATTTGCCCGATTATCGTTGGGAAGGCAACGCTTCCGCCACGGGATGGTCCATTATCGGCAACACTAAAGAAGTTATAAAATCGGCAACGCAACTCGACAGAACTGCAGCCACAGCCTTGAGCGTTGTGGATGATCAAGGACAGCTAACGAGTAACAGGCAGTGACGTTGTTGATGATCAAGGGCAGATAATGAGTAGCAGGCAGTGACGTTGTTGATGATCAAGGACCGCTAACGAGTAGCCGGTAGTGACGTTGTTGATGATCAAGGACAGATAACGAGTAGCAGGCAGTGACGTTGTTGATGATCAAGGACAGATAACGAGTAGCCGGTAGTGACGTTGTGGATGATCAAGGACAGATAACGAGTAGCCGGTAGTGACGTTGTGGATGATCAAGGACAGATAACGAGTAGCAGGTAGTGACGTTGTGGATGATCAAGAACAGATAACGAGTAGCAGGCAGTGACTTTGTGGGTGATCAAGGACAGCTAACGAGTAGCAGAAATTGACGATGTGATCATCGAGTAACACGAGTGTCATTAAATGTTGTCTCAGCCGATCAAAACACATTAAAATTTAAAAACTGATTTATTGAAATTACTAGCATATCAATTTTACTGCGGGTTTGTGTCACTTACGTGAACAAAGAGAAAAATATATACAAATTACATCAATATTAAGTAAGGATAATTTCCGCTTGACTTTCATGGAAGTGGTCCAATAGCAACTTAATTTTTTTAGAAGAACGCCCTGAATTCCAATTCTATAAATTTCAAAATCTCATAGCTTATTATAACCTAAAAATTACTAATTTATGTCGAATAAATTTATCGAGTCAATTTTCGTTCTTGAACCACAACACAAAATTCGTATTTCGCAAATCAGTCCCACGCTATCAGTAATTCTCCACAGCATCATCAAAAGTGTAAATATTCTCCGTTGCCATCGAAAAAGCTTGGAACGATTGACCATGGACCGCATGAAACGAAAACAAACCGACATCGGAGCAGCTTTAGGACGCGCTGACAACACTTGATGCCTTTCATACGCGAGAATTATGAGCCATTTAAACGCCGAAACCTCATTGTTGAGCATCCATTGTACAGTGTACCCTATTCAAACTGTTCATAATTGAAGAGGCCAATTCATGGCCAATTATAAGAGTAAATCGCTGATCGGCTATTCAATATCCAGCACACATTCAACGCATTGGTTACATTTCGCGTCAAATACGTTTCTCATCAGGAAGACTAGCATATACAATAAATAAAACTCAATTTTGATTCGTGATATGCAGACATGAAATCGATAAGCAAAGACATATCAGAAGACCTCCTATTACTT